CCAATGCCTTCATCAACTCGCCCAGATCGTCTAGTTGGTTAGGATGATACGTTGTGGTTCTTCTATACAGCGATCCGTGTTGACGGCGGTTCGAATCCGCCTCTGGGCAGTCGAGGCTGGTTCACCTGAACCACTTTCGTTTTTTTCCCTCTTTTTAAGTCTGCATCTCGAGCGTTTCTTTTTTGGCCGCCCATCTTTCTTTCCTTCTTTTGCGTACATTCATGCTTAACTCATCCCAAATCCAGCCTCACTACAAAACCTGTCTCACAATCAACCACTCCCTTTGATGCGTCGCAGCCTAAACCCGTCACATCACGAGACCTCTCAGGTAGCTAGATTCTCAAAGGACGCCAAAGTCTCAACCTCCAAAGGGTAATGCCTACCAAATCCGACCAAATACCCCAAGGGTGGGATTGGCCGCGACCCGGTTCGTCTTGGCAAGCCTCCGAACCACCGCCGCCACCTAAGAAACTTTCCAACGCCATCAGCCGCAACACACCAGGCTCCAACCAATCACGCCAAGAAAGTGACCCCAATACCGTCCAAATTCGGAAGGAAAGGACACAAGGCCAAAATAAATAAATAAAGAACCTCAGCTACTACCTGCAAGGAGACTCGAGAAAACCTTAATTATCGAAAAATTAGAAACGCGCCATCTCATCATCCCGGGATAGTCATGTACCTACCTGCCCTCATTCAGCTACTGCGAAAGATTGCCGCTCAATAGTGTTATTTTCAATCCCCAGCCCTACATCAAGTCCGAACAGTGGCGCGGCAGCGGAAGCAGGGAAAGGAAGAGTCAAACTTGACTTCACCTTGTCGGAGCAAGCCCGAGACAGCCAAGACTGTTGTTCTAGACACGTCCAGTCACCGGATGATCCATCAAAACACATTGAGCTGATGTCAAAGTTGGCATGTCTTAATCTTGCCGCCCGTCGTTCTGACGGCGGTCTGTCTATTGCTTTCTGGTCGCTATGGTTTACGTACTCAAACACGACATCAGACATCGCTAAGATATGTGAATAAAAGAAATCAGGCACACAAACATGGTGGGTATTGCATCGTAGTATGCTCAGCGCAACATGCAAACCGGGCCGTTTGATTTTGTTGTAGTACGGATACTCCTGTTCCAGTACTGACTGCAAGCAGCTCTCATGCTGCGAATCTAATGCAGGTGGTTCCCTTTGAACCTGCACTGTATTTTCCAGACCTCGTAAACCCAAGGTGCTCAATTATGCTCAAACCAAGTAACGCGCGAGAAAACCCTCCCTTCCGCCTTCGCGGAGAACCCTTACTTAATCTTCCCCAAACAAAATACCGTGGTGCTCTGCGCACAGCTGGTCGAATCCCAGCCAATACACGGTCCCATTGTCGTTGGCAGTGTCTGACCAGGCACCGCCATCGTTCTCCCGAATGTCCTTGGGATATGGGTGTGCGGGATACCACACTCGGCCGTCAATCAGCTCAGGCATATAATGTTCCTCCTGCTGGAACCAGTTGATAGCGGAACGGATCAGAGAGCGGCCGTAGGGGAAGAACCACATGCGAGGCCAGAACACGTCCAAGGCTCCCTTCTCTCCGGTGACGTGCAGCAGCGGAAACGTCTGCTTGGTCACAATGTTGGCGCCGAACTCGGACTTGCGGATCAGCTCGTTCACCGTCGCGCCCATCGTTTCGTCCTCGGTTGTGTTGAAGATGCGCTTGAGCGACTTCATGCCGTCCGCTTGCATATGCAAGCTCCAAGGCACAAAGGTGGAACTGTTGCGATAGTTTTGTGAGATTTCGACCGAGTACAGGGGGCGGTCAAATTTGCGCCAGTTCACCCACTCGCCGTAGCCAGCCCATGTCTGGAACATCAGACTCCAATAGTCCATGGCGATGTGGAAGTTGTAGCTGTACGCGGGCTCCAACTCGGGAACCCAGCCGTCTTCCGGAGGCAGCATGACAGCGGCATCAGGATTTTCCTCCTTTTGCATCTGTATTCTCTCAAGCTCCTGCAACCCCCAGACGTCGCTCATGTAGAACTGGTCGCTCTCTCTGAACTCGTATTCCGGGTCGTACACTTCGTTTATTAGGTCGAGAGTGGCTCGGAACATCTCGCGGACCTCCTTGATGGGACCAATAATGGTGCCGCTGTTGAGCCATCGGGGGTGGTTGAAGGCCATATCCTCGCCAGTATTCGTGAGAGGGCCGAACTCGTGGCCGTCCATGTTTGGCACCGGAGGAACCGCCCAGCAAGCCGGACGCCGCCAGTCCACGGGCCAGCAGACCTTGTCCGCGCCGAAGAAGATATGTCGGCCCATCGGACCAGCCAGACTCTGGGCCCTCTCGGGTCCCAGCTGCTGGATGATTCGCTCGTCTTCCTTGGCCGCTGCCTTGAAATATCTCTCAATCAAGACATCGGGGCCAAACTGGAGAAGGACGTCATAGCCATCAATCATCATGAAGAGATCGTCGTTGCTGGCTTCGGGCAAGTCTTCGAGGTACTTGGTGACGACGCGGATCTTGGCCAAGTGGGACAGGGCAGCATCGTTTTCGCCGGTGCCGTTCCATCCTGCAATGACTGGCGCGCCGAAGCGGTTGGCGGTAGACGAAACGAGGGCGCGGCAGAACTGCAAGTTCGGGGCGCTGGCGGCGATCAGGAAATGGAAACGGCCGGTGCCTGCGCGGGCGGGTTTGGCCCCCTTGGTGGATGGCGCGGAGGATTTACTTCCGGTGGGGAGAGAAGCTGAGATGTCGGACTGTGGGAGGAGGCCATTGTCAGTACAAATGTCAAGCGCAAACAGCTACGACGGGTGTCTCAGAGTCCCGCATCGAGGAGTTCGGTCGAAGTTTCAGCCCAAGTCGGCACGTGGGTGCGCATTCTTCCTCTCCTGGGGGAAAAACTGCCCCAGTAGACGGGGGGCTTGCGACGGCGATCAAAAAACGACAAGAAGTTTGAAGTAACGACAGGAAACAAAAAAGAAGGAAAGAAGCTTACCCAGCTCAGGTTCTCCGGGTAGAGGGACTGTGAGAAGATGAGAAGCGCCGAAACGATGACGAAAGCGGCCAGCAGAACGAGTCTGCGGCCTTTCAGAGCCATCAACATGGGTGCGACTCGGGTTTCATTTAGCTGCCGGATTGGCTTGAGATCCAGGTTGGGCGATTTTGGGGGGTTGACAAGCGGGCAAGCGGGCTAGTGCAGTGCAGTGCAATGTTGGTTTGCGACGGCGGCGCTGAAGCGATATCCACGAGAGAGAGAAGAGGTCGAGCGTGCAACTTGGGGTATTAGAAAGACGGTAACGAACCAAATGAACACCTAAGGGCCGGCAGTAACGAGAGTAAGAAGGGAAAGTAGAGAAGAATATGCACACTCCCAGGACTCGAGGATCGTCGTCGTTGTTAAGGGGTTGGAGGGTAAAAGAAAGAGAAGGGAAAGAAATGAGTGGAAGAGGTCGACAGTGGCAAGAAATGCTAGGTGACAGATGGCGGATGGAGATGGCGGATGGAGATGGGCGGGGAGTTTTTTTCCCCTTGGGTTCAGGTTGAGGGCCAGGAATTGCCAAGGCCAAGTGCCAAAGTCAGTATTTCCAAGAGCTGTCAGGCCAGAGGAACAGGAGACGCCCGTTGCCGCTGAGAATGCTCCTTTCTTCCCACCCTCGTGGTCGAACCCCTTGGTCTCGGTATCGTCTACTTTTGTCTTGGTGTGCTGCTCTTCTCGGTAAAGACAGGCGTGTGGGTGGTCATGTGTCGACGCGGAAGAGAGATGGAGAGAGACACAGGCTGTCGACCGATACGGCTGTGACTTGAGCCGCACTGAAGTTTGAGTTGGTGAATTCCAGTTCAGGTACCTCTGGATCCTTGGGACAGATACGGGTAGTGGACTAGACTCCGAGAACGTCGATAGTCCTTTCGAGTCCGGGGAAGCAGCGGCGGAAAGGAAATTGGAAGCAGGGTCTGGCTAAGTGGATCAGCTGCACGGGATGATTCGCCCAAGATTGGATTGGACGAGCGGGAGTCTCGAGGGGGAAGGAAGAGGTCAAAAAAGAAGAATTGTCATAATACAGGACGGAATAAAAGGGAGGATTAGGGAAGAAGGAAGGACAGACCCGGAGTGACGACGACTCGGAGGAGCCAAGATTGAGCTAAGACCAAGGTACTTTTTGGTGGTTGATGACCACTGCACATCAGGTATCAAAGTATCCATAAGGTAACGGTAGTCAGGGCAGGTACGGATATTGGATTGTTATTGTTGCTGCTGCTGCTGCTGCTGCTGCTGCTGCTGCTGATGCGGCGGTGCGGGCGGTGTCCCAAATGATTACCTTACGATGTACCTCTTGTTCAGCGCATGGCAGGAAGGAAGGGATGGGTGGGCGGCACTAAGAGAGGAGGGCGTCGGAGCGGGAAGCAGCCACGCAGCCCCATGTGAGGTGCGGAAGGAGCAGGGAGCCGCTGGTGAAGGTGCGGTGCAGGTGCGAGGAAAGGTACTAATGCGAGGTACCTTCCTCGGATAGCAATTAGGGGGAGGCAATGTCCAGCGTGGCGTAGCGGGCGGGACGCCGGGACTGGCGGAGAGGGAGAGGTCATCTCACCGTCCGCCTTTCAACACTCCCCATGGAAGTTCCAGGTGCTATTTGGTTCATCAGGTCGGGTACGTGTTAATCAGTTTGACCGGCACATCAATCTCCTTTCTCATGGCACACATGTTTTGAAGAGTTGATAGACAGAGGGAGTCCCTGGCGTCCTGAGCGATGCGAGGAGAGGGACACGCACACAGACGTCTCAAAGTTGCCGTCCCGCCCAGACACTCACACACACTTTAGCGGTGGACGTCGCGGTGTCGCATGGCATGGGCTAGGCTTGTCATTGTTCTGTGTACGTCGGTACGCCAGTACGCGTGTTAGGAAATAGCCTACTGGGTCCAGTCGTGGGCACCCAAGGATCTTGGGACCATCGGAATATCAAGCCATGGGGAGGCACGGAGGGGGGGCGCTGACAAGGGCCGGATGGCATTGGCTAGCTCAGGGCCCGGCTGACGGTGACGGTCTGATGTTGGTGGTTCGGTGGGTGAGGTGGGTGATGACCCAAGATATCAGACTTGCCGTGTCGTCCGGCTTGGATGCTTGGTATCGCCGCATCGGTGCCGCATCGGTGACGGTTGAGACCTTAGCCGTGCTGCCTCTTGTCTTGTCTGCAGCCAGCATGGCGGGACTTGATTGACTGATTGACTGACTGCCTGCCTTAGCTCAGCAGTCTGCAGCTGTTTGTGCTACCTGCAAATACGCACAGAAGTTTTCCAAAGTCGTACACGGGAATACCCCGTACTGCTCTTCGTTAGAGTCAGACTCAGACACAGTGACAGACAACCCTCGTCCCTGGTGGCCTTTGGCTTGGCGCATTGCTTTATTCTCCTACCTTGCATCGCCGCTTGCCTTACGCACGGCAGTCGACAGGGAGCAAGCAACATGTTCTATTGCCAGAAAGACTCGCGACTTTTTCATAGAGCTGGAGTTGAGCACTTGGGGCAAGCCGCGAAAGGGAGGGCGCACTGTCCACTACACAGTAACTCCCGCCGTCAAGTGTGGCTGTCCCGGAAGAGCCGTTGCCAGTTGACCAGTTTTAGCACGGTAACTAAGTGTGTAACACAGCTCCCGCCAAGAGAGGCCGCGGCAGAGTGGCTGAATTTCCATGTTGTCTGAGATGGGCTACCGACCGTTGCAGACGCCACCGTCCTCGTCGATTCGTCCGTTGTGCTCCCTTAGTGCTTGGAGAGTCTTGGGGTCTTGGAGTACCTATCGTAAACAGGTATTGTCGGTACCTTACGTGTTATGCTCTTATTTCTCTCTGGGTCGATACATTGCACGTTGTGCGCCGCATCGTGGATGGATACCTACTCTGTCCTGGCTGGACGTTGATGATCTGGAATAGAGGCTGTAAATTGCGAGCGGCATTTGTATCTCCACGATGGTTTCATTGTGTGAATCTACCTGGCGCAAGAAGCGAAACTGTGGGTTTCCAATGGGAAAGAGATAAGATGCGAATTGCGTGCTGAGGTAAGCGGGGCCATGTTAATCTGCGATTCTGCGCAGTTGCACCTTCCGTCAGTGACCTCACAACGAAGAAAATAGAAAGATGACATAATGGCCCACGATACGTACTTTTTTACATCGAACTGGAAGTGTTCCCGCCGCCATCCTGAGGTCACACTGTCTCCACCGCATCCCGTCCGTTCCCCTTTTCCACTCCCACGGCGCAGCCACAATCCTCCTCCACCTCAGTGTTCTCTGCTGCAATTGCTGTCATGAGCCCCAGTGTCTTGGTTCGACGTGCTGCTTGTGCTGGAGCTGGTGCTGGTGCCATGCTTGGCTCGACCATACGCAGTTGGGTACCTACGACCTGCTACTGAGCCTTGCTTCTTGGTCCTCATTTCCCGCCCTGCATCTCTCCTCGGCCAGTCGCATCCAATGTCTTTGAAGTGTCAAGGCTGCTTCCCGCTCGGTTTTCCTTTGGTTTGCTTGCAGCACCGCGCGGCTTGGCTCTGTAGCCGTCCCTTATTTGCTGTCATAAACCATCACCCTCTCCACCGAGCTTCCACCGTTCCGCTCCTCCCTCCCCTAAAAAAGCCAAGGGAGGGAACCAAACCCAAAATATGAAGGAAAAAAGGCTGGGCATCGCCAGACTTCGGATTCATCGGCTTCTCTTTCTTGTCAGCACACTGCAGCAAATCAAATTGCGCCCAGCTGATCAGCCAACTCAATGATCCGAACACAGCATGTGCAGGGCAGCCTCCTCCTCCCCCTCCGTGCAGCAGCTGCAGGGCCACAGACAAGAGAGTAAGAGAAACATGAGACAGGCATCGCCATGCTGCCACGCGCACGTCTTTCTGCTGGAGCCCTGCCTAACACTTGTCCCTTACCTAAAGCTAGAGTGAGACCTGCCAAATAAACCTCCCGTGCCATGACAGAACACACGGTAGGGTACTTACTGATGATATCAATGGGCCGAAACCTGTGAGCAGCCGCAGACAGAAAACGAAGTATCCAGATAGATTGCCTTCGGTAACTACTGCTCTTCAGACTTCTCCGACAGCCCCTACATCATTACGGAGTATTCAACCTTTCGGCTCGCTCGCTCGCATCTCATCAAGCTAGATTTTCCTCCTTGGATGCTGGACCCTGCCTAGAGCCGCATTTAAATGAGATCGGCCAGTGATAATGACTCTCTTACCCACGCGCTAAGGAACGTATGTATACCTGAGTATTCGTACCGAGCACACAGAGCACTGGAGTCGCTTTACCCCCACTTTTCCGCCTGCTTTTTTGTTTTTGGCTTTTTTCTTGATATGAAGAAGGGACGACAGCTGGAGTCTCGGAGAGTCAGTCTCCAAAGTCTGTTTAGAAAGCTCGGGCATGCGCAAGCCTTGTAGCTTAGGTAGCTTTACGGGAATACCTAAGTAAGTTACGTAGGGTCTGAGGCTTTTTAGATCAAGAATTGATAACAACGCGACAAGATGCGGATTGCCAATCATGCACCAGCAGCAGCGGCCGCTCAACTGGAATCAATCACTCTGTGGAATTTCTCCAAGTGATCCCACATAGATAAAAACCAGACTTTGAGACATCAACAAGACCCGCCGCCTAAACGCAATTAAACGTGTTCTAGAGCTTGATGGACTGATCCAGCTTTTGCCAGTGATCACTGATGCTCCCAGACTCACCTTAGCTAACTCGAGCTTGCTCGCCAGCTAAGGTAGGTGTGCTCCAAAAAAATGCTTCCATTCCACTTTATCCAGGTTTCTTCATGATTGATCCCGCCGAACCCCGGCGGGGCACAGTCCCACGCAATTGGCCAACCTGGTGGCAGGTATTTGCCTTTTCCATCCCACCCCTTCTTGTTGATGTTCTCCCAAGTTCCCTACTCCAGTAGGTACCTACCGTCCCCCCGGTCTGCCAGAGATAATAGCTGCCCTTCCTCCAATTGAACCACATCCCCGGTCTCTCATCCCGCAATTACACTGTATCTGGCTCCTCTCCTTTATTAACTGGCCCCGTTTCGCTAGGTACTTGGCCATAGGATTCTTGTGGTTCCCCCTTCCCCCTTCCCTTGCCGTCCGGCCGCACCAGGATGAATCAGGGCCCCAGGCTTACGCGGCTGCCAAGGGTGGTTATGAGGGGCGCTCTTTTCTTCCCAAGACAAAGCTCAACTTCGGACGCAAAATCCCACCCGCCACCGCACTGTACGAAAGTACATCCCACCGCATATTTGGCCCGTCGGGCTTGTTCATCCCGCCCACCAGTCACAGAGCTCTATCCGTACGGTACCTACCACAGGTTGAGTGACTTTCACTCTTTCCCAGACCCGCGAGACCCTCCAACCACCCCCGCCAGTCTCCAGACTAGAAATGAGGATAGATGACGATGATGACCTGGCAGCCACTGATCGAGGATGGAGAGCTGCACCCCGAAGCCCTGTCCCCCCTCATCTAAACCACCACCACCACCTCATCCAAAGTGAGTGAGAGCGCACTCACCCCATTGTATAGGTAATTAACCCGTGAAAGCAGAGGATCCCGAATGGGAAACACGGCGACATCCGCTCTACTTTATGTAGAGCAGCCGCCAGCACGCTGTAAAACGAAGCGGCGTCACGGTGAGCCGGCCGGTAGGTAGGACACTGCACTGGAGTCTGGTGAGAGAGCCCGGCTACTAGCTGCCGTTTAGCTCAAACGGGCGGGCAGATTTCACGCACAATGTACATCACACACACGACGCCGGCGGCGGCCCAGCACCACCAGCGCCAGCGTTAGCACCAAAACGACAGCGACAGCGCGATCGACTACGAGAGGCCGTTCGAGAACGATGGGGTCGCATCGAGACTAGAGCAAGCCGAACCGGCCAGATTTTGCCGATGTAATTATCCCCAAACGCGCAAGCCTAGGTTTGATAGGCGGATTGGACATTCAGGCTTTTGAGTTCTGTTGTATGAAGTGTGAGAAAAAGCGTTGCGTACGTGAGCGTGTCCACGACGCCTTCTGTCCACTATTGAGTATCGCCTCGTGACAGAAGATGCCGTATCGCCCGTGGCCGTGGCTGAGTCCTGCTTTCGCTCCCTTTACTGTGGTAGACACGTCGTAAGCTCTCTCATATAAGGGCGGGGGCGATAAAGCGATAAAGCCAAAGTGTATGAGATGAGAAGCCGTGATGCCGGGTTTCGTTTCCATTCAATAGACTCGGGAGAAACCCAGACAGATCTGAGAGACCCCTTACTGCGCACCTGCACTGCTACTCTACGTACGGATAGTGGCGGAGGATCAAGTCTTGTTTCTGGCTTTTTCCTTTTTTTTTTTTTTTCTTGCTGTCTCGATGTGGTGTGCTCTCCTGATCCCCGAGCCTCGAAGTACCCTTACTGTTTGAGGAAGCTCCCTTGGGTTAGCCAGACCAGCCCAGGTACGTGTGTAATTTATCGTGTGCCGGGGCCGGGAGATGGTTGTAAGTCACCAGCTCGCTCACTCAGTCCACTTACTCATTCGCTCAATCATTCACTCACTCATGTCATTCTCATTCAATCACCATTGGAGGATGCATCTAATGTTTATTGTTGGAAAGTATTCCGAGTGAGAGTCTGGCAGTCTGGAATCCGTACTTCATCTCTTGTACACCGTAACGGCAAATGAACAAGAAGGGGGCTCGAAAAAAGGAGGACTGGCAGTGAGCAATGCCGCCAGCCGAAACGTCATTGATGCCAAGCGCGGAAGCGAGAAAGATGCCCGTTTGAGTATCTCGGCATCCTCTGCTTCCTCTTCTTGTCCTTCCACCCCGGTGGGTCATGTCTCCTCTGCCATGATCCATCCCTCCCTCCCCTCTCCACCCTGTGCCTGTCCTCAATCCCGTGTGTTCACTCTCTCTGAGATAGTCAGTCTCCGTACCGTGCTTCCCACTCCTATTCCCACCCTCACTCCCGTCCATCCTTCACCTGGGCTATCTGTCTTGCCGTGTGCCCGTCTCACCACTCACTTCACTCCCCCATTCCTTTTATCTCCACACGTCCTTTCAACCCTTCCGGTTCCTGTCGTTCCCTTTTCTAAAAACTTACCTTAATCCTGCCCTGCCCCCCTGTTCCCAGACCCTTTCTGAATACATTGCTGCATCGGATTTAGCTGACGCCTCGCAAAGCCCGCGATCCGAAGTCTTGGGTTCATCTACAGCCTGTTCCACTGAGCAAACGCCCTTGCCTTGTGCCTTGTACCTCCCGTCTCTACTATCCGCCCCCCCAATTACCACACCTCACACCTCATCTACCTCCCTCCATCTATCCAGGTCCCTATTTTCTCTTATTCTTTCTTCCTTCACTCATATTGTCAACCACACACTCCTTCGATCGCTCTGCCTCTCGTTTGGCCCTTTTTTCTCTTTTATTTACACT